CATGATGGCTATCTTCAGAATAGTTACAGAGCTCCACTGTGGAAGGATATTCCAACTGGCAGTGGGTTTTTACCTCACGCTGGGCTCTTTGTACCGTTAGAACTTTCTTATTTATCATTTTGACTGAAACTACCAGCCCTGTGTGAATGGACTCTGCTCTGTAGATGCCGGCAAATGATCCCTTATCCAGCAAGTTTCTGCCCTTAGAATTCCCCATCTTCTCTCTGATGCAGGTCACAGTGTTTCCAGGTACCAGCTTCAGGCTGCTGTTCGTATGGCAAAGGCACAAACACCGAGGTCAGGAACATGCCTCTGAGCTTCCATTTTTAAAAGATTGGGCCACTTCTCCACATGGCAATATAGGGACAAAAAAGGTCTTCTTGCCACTGCACTTAAATTCTCTTTTACGACTGTGCCACAATAAAAAGACGTGTGTGAGTTGAGGGTGCTGGAGAGTTTCATGCAAGAGTGCTGTGGTGTCACAGCTCACAACTCTTGAGTTTAAGCAATTCTCTTGCTTCAGCCTCCCAAGTAGCTGGGACTACAGGTGCCTGGCACAACTCCCAGCTATTTTTTTTTTTTTTAAGAGACAGAGTCTCAAATGTTCTTCTTAGCGAAGTATCACAAGAATGGAAGAAAAAGTATCCAATGTACACAGCCCTATTATGAAACTAATTTATAGATCTCAAATGAAAGCTACAACCTAATTCTAGCCTAAGAATATGGGGAGAGGTGGGGAAGGGGACGGGAGAAGGGCGGATGGGTGGTGGGAGGGTGACTAGAAAGATCACCTATATGGTCTGTCTAAGAAAGGTACAAGTGAACTTTTCTAGAACTAGAGTATAAATGTTGTTTTAACACAATAACTAAGTAAATGACACAAAGTCTATGTTAACCAGTTTGATGAAAATATTTCAAATTGTATATGAAAACACTACACTGTACCCCATGTTTGCATTAATGTATGCAGCTATCATTTAATAATAATAATTAAAAAAGAAGAGAGAGAGTCTCACTTTATCACCTTCAGTAGAGTACCATGGTATCACAGCTCATGGCAACCTCCAACTCCTGGGCTTAGGTGATTCTCTTGCCTCAACCTCCCAAGTAGCTGGGACTACAGGCGCCCTCCACAACACCCAGCTATTTTTTTGTTACAGTTTGCTGGCTGCCAGGTTAGAACCTACCACCCTCGGTATATGCGCAGGCGCCCTACCCACTGAGCCACATGTGCCCCCCCCCCCCGCTATTCTTTTGTTTCAGTTGCCATTGTTATTTAGCAGGCCTGGGCTGGGCTTGAACCTGCCAGCCTCGGTGCATTTGGCCAGCACCCTACTCACTGAGCTACGGGTGCCGAGCCAAGAAAGAACTTTTAACAGGGCAGGTTGTATAGTGCAGTGACTTAAAATGCTCTGTAGTTAGATTGCTTGGGTTCAACCCCTTCTTTTGGCATAGCTACCTGACTTTGACAATTACTGAACTGCATTAGGTGCCAATTTTTTTTAATAGGAAAATGTAGCTAGTAATAGTACCTATCTTACAGGTTCATAGCTGTGATTAAGTGAATTAAGATCTAATATATAGAATTTTTAGAATAGTAATAGGCAACTGGGAGAATTAAGTAAATATTAACCATCATATTAGATGATTCTGATGCCTTTTTATAGAATTCATATTTTCTTTTTTTTTAATTAAATCATAGCTGTGTACATTAATGCAATCATGGGGTACAATGTGCTGGTTTTGCATACAATTCGAAATGCTTTCATCAAACTGGTCAACATAGCCTTCGCGGCATTTTATTAGTTATCGTGTTAAGATGTTTATATTTCACGCCTAGTAGATTATGGAATTCGTACTTTGTGTTTACTTGAATTTTATGAGGCTAGGTCAACACACAAATTTATATTTCTGCTTGTTTCTTTAATGTTGGAAATTCAGGAAATTTACAATTAAGCTGCAAGAATGAATTACAAGTATCTTATTTACCTCCCATATGAAACTTTCCTCACCTTTCCAAGCAGAATGAACAATTTTCTATTGTAGCCACACATTGGTTTTTTAGTCTGACGAATTGAGAGGTAACCAACTGACTACCGTACATTGTGGGATCCCTTCTCTGTGAACTGCCTGAGATTGTGGGAAGTGTTTGATTAATTTTTAAATATGAAGTGACTCTTCCAGTCACGCAAGGTGAGCCAAGCTCTGGGTGGGTTAATGACTTCCCCTTTCCTGGAGGTTCCCACAGAAACTGGATGTTGTTTTCTCTAGATACAGAGGGTACCAAAAAATGCATACGTATTTTAAGAAAGGAAAAAATTTCATTAAATTTGCAATGTGACTTGTATTCCTCTTTTATTATCACTATGTATTATGCAGTTTTTTCCTTTCTTAAAATCCCTGTCTCACAGTAACTAAGAGCTCAATCTTTGGAGCCAGGCTACTGGGTTTCTTTCTCTTGATTCCTTGGGGTTCCAGCGTCTTGATCTATCAAATGGGGAGGATAATAAAATATACTTTGCAGAATTGCTTTGAAGTTAAAACGAGTTAAAGTAGAAAGACCAACTAGAGCAGAAGTGATGGTGTGAGTTCTAACTATAAGTTTGGTATGTTGCCAGAGACTTTGGCAATAAGATTGATTCATGCTTGTGTGGGCCATTGTATCACAGAGCTGACAAGAACTTTATAAACCTTCAGAGGAATGTGTACACAGCACATTTTTGGCTGCCTTCATGAACTTTTTAATTGTTTATTGTCATGGAAAACAATTCTGTGAAAATGAGCCAACGTCTGTTTCTGACTCTTGGTTAACCAGTAATTACTGCCTGAACTACGCTGGAAGACAGAGGAGAGACGTTCAGAGTGAACTGAGTAATATTTTTTTTAATTCCATGCAAGTCTTTACTTAATATATTAGAAGGAAACATAGGATTAACTAATACAGATGGAACATCAATCATTTAATGTGCAAATTTAATTATAGAAGGCAGAGGATAAAGAGCATGGACTTTTGTGAATCTTTGACATGGTAAAGATACAGATTTTCTAAGCGAAACTGTCCTCACTTACAGAAAACAACAAGTGGAGGAATACATTTGCTATGAATTTCTGATTTTACTAGGACATAGACTGGGATGGAATTAGCATTCATTTCATTCAAATAGGAAGATGTTATGAAGAATTGGCTCCATTGCGTTGAAACCTCCTCCTGTGATAAGATGTCACCATCACCGTCTGGTGTCCCCGCCCCAGAGGAGCAGGTACTGTGATGTGCAGAGGTCACATGTGAGACGTGGAAGCCACAGATCCGAATGTGTTTCAGAAACCTGGTATTTTGTTGTGCCTCACCCAGTCCAGAGATGATTTGATTAGAATAAAATCAGGAATCTGTTATTTGAGCAGACAAAAGAGAAGAGACTCTGGAAAAAGCATCCAGACCCTCTTTAACAGAACTCGAGGGCCAGACTCAGTGCCTCTCTCTCCACAGCTCAAGGTGATGTGATGCCAATTAGGTATAACCAGTTCTGGAAGAGAGAAACACCACAAGCATGGCCAGCCCTACAGATAGAGGCCTTGACCTGAAGCCTGTCAGTGACCCACCAGCCGTGTCCCTACTCACAGGGGAGTACTGCCTCGTAGGTTCCTGACATGTCAGCCCCATAGTCCGTTCACAACAACCTTGTGAGCCAGACAGGGCAAGTGTTTTTATGCTTATTTTATAAAAATATAAAATGACTTTCTCAAGGTCACAAAGTTATAGTGGGAATCACATCCTAGTCTCCAGAAGTCTCTAAACTTCTGTACCATATTAAACTCTGAGAACGTGGTAGACTTTCCAGTCATTTAAATACTATTATGCACACATCCCCACATCTGCACGTGTTTGCCGTGTGGAAATGAGTGCATATGTACTTCTTTCATTATAAATTATATGTACTCACTGCAGAAACATCACAGGAATACTATTACCATTGATACCTGGTGTATTTTCTAGGCAATCTCGTGAAATGTTGCTGTGAGCAGGAAGGTTTCACTCCATTTCCTTGGGTTGGGATGTATTTGAGAAATAATGTTAAAATAGATTTTACAAATTTGGCTTTTAGAAGAACATGACTACCTTTCCTTCCTCAAACCTACTTGAATATATTCATTTAAGTTCCTGTGTCATATCTCCCCTTTTCAGAGTTGAAGTTTTCATAAATTCAAAGAGCTTGCTAATTTCACATCCATGAGACCACTGTGCATTTTTTCTCTGTAACATACTTGATTTCCAGCTAACCATTTACTACCTCATAAGACCTGTCAAGTCATCCAAAATTATTTTTCCCTCTACCATAGTTTGTTTCAAGTAGAGGAATTAAAAAAAAAAAAAAAAGAAAGTCACCAAAAACATAAGTTCTCTCATTTGTAACTGAATTGTTTGATTCTCAATATGTTATTTCACCATTCTGAGCCTTAACTTTTTCATCTGTAAAATGGTTTGGCTCGGATGATTTTTAAGTTCTGCTTAAGCCCTAACTTACTAAAATTCCATTACCATTATATAAATCCACACCAGTGCCCAATAACCTTGACCTCAAAGGAGAAATTGCATTTCAGAGGTGACTTCCTCTTTTTAACCCTGATGAGTTTATTCATATATGTTCAGTCTTTTATATGGTAATTCAATAGATATTTGCAACGTGTTTACTAAGAGCTGGGGACACATGAGTCTGGGAAACAGTACATTGTCCATAGCATCAAGAAGCTGTTTATTTAATGAGCATACAGACAAGCAAACAGGTTATTATGAAAAAGGATTGATATTAACATAGGGTGAGTACGGGGATCCGTTAGGCATACTGCAAAGGTAATAGTGTAGAGTAGATCCATATTTAATTTTAGTTATAAACAAACCAAGATTTATTTCATTTATACACGTTAGTATTTATTGAATTTCATTGTCATATTCCAGTGATAAAATATAAATTATAATATTTCTAATAATAATTTTTAGTTGCCTTCTATAATTGTGTTGTTTTCTGGCAAGGAATGTAGACATCAGAAAAAAGTTAATTTTTATTTCAGCTACAGTGTATGTGTATCATTGACAAAGTCTTAGATATTGTTGATGCAGGGTCTGATACAAGGAGCAGGAACCCTCCCAGATGTGTTTGCTTTGATACAATGTACCCTTCATTGCTTTGATACAATGTACCCTTGCTTGGGTTACATTAACCGTCCTTCAACCGGAATTTCTGTGTTGTATTTTTTACAGTCCTCAGGAATTTCATGATATCAGTGCCTCCAGTCCCTTTGTTTTCCGAAGGTTCTTCAGACTTGTTGCCAGGCCCCTGCTGCTGGCGTGCAGGTTCCATAATATACTTGCTCACTATTCCCAGATGGTAGCTACGCAGGTTGACCATCGCTGCCACACACTCATCATAGGCTTTCCTCAGGTCAGCGTCACCTTGCGACTGGACAAACTCCCGGACTGATGGGCCTGACTCTAATGAGCCAAGAAAGGCCTGGTGAGCCGGTGGCATGTACGTCCTCATTTCACGGAGGATCTCAGCAGCAGATTCTAAAGGAGCAAAGGAACCATGAGCTCACAGGGAGACCAAAGCATTTCCCAGTGCAGGGAGAAGGCAGAGTGAGGTCAGGCTGGATGGGAGATCACCAGCCAGTACCAGGCAGGAGTCACAGGGGTTGAAGGGTCACGTCTAGCTCCAGAGTTTTTCAACCATTTTTTTAATCTCACAGCTCACTTGACCCTATAATTAAACTTCTGTGGCACACTTAAATTATGTTGATAAAAAAAGAGTAAAAAGAAAAAAATACCCTTGCAGTGTTTTGAACTTCTTTCAAAAATAATTTAATTAATGATTTTCAAGTCACACCTAAGATGCTCTCACTACACACCAGTTCAAAGTCACTGGGCTGCCAGCAATAGTGAGTATTATAAAATTTTGTTAATTCTGAAAGCCACAGAAGCTAAACCCATTCTTTCATAATAGGAGATTTTTATATGTGCTTCTTTTCTCTATTTTCTATTATGTTTGAGCCTTCTAAGAAGCTTGTGGTTAGGATAGGGTACATACATAACCAGCGACCAAGAGCTGGTGGTGAGGACAGTGTCCGTATATAACCAGAGATCAGAAGGTGGTGGTGGGAACAGGGTCCGTATATAACTAGCGATCAGAAGGTGGTGGTGAGGGCAGGGTCTGTATATAACTAGAGACTTGGAGCTGGTGGTGAGGACAGGGTCTATATATAACCAGAGACCAGAACGTGGTGGTGAGGACCGGCCCATATATAACCAGAGACCAGGAGCCTAAGTCTGGGAGCGGTAAGGGTCATTTTTAAGTGTCTGAATTAAGAAAAAAAAATGTTTTCCCCCAGCCTACTGCTTTCCCCTCTGACTGTTACATAGAAGTTTAAGAAAATAGTGGAGAGTGGATAGAAGTTCTTCCCAGAGCTTCTTTCTCTCCTCTCTCTAAGCCCCTATGAGAAACATAATGAATATGGCTGTTTTAAACTGGAAGAGGCATTGCCCTGGGCTGCTGGGGACACAGGGCAAATGAGGAAGAGCAGAGCCCAGGCTCCCTTGTCACGGAGGTCCCTGCCATTCATTTCCAGGTGAGGCGCCTTTCTGAATCTGATCTTCGTTTGAGAACATGTACACTGCCTTCCCCAGAGCCAACCAGTCTTTCAGTACATGCTCAGCTCTCCAGATGGAGGGAGTCTGACCTTGGCTGGCTGCAGCCTCTCCAATTAACAGGGAGCTGGCAGCACATTCTCATTGAGTTTTCCCTTCTTCATTTGTGAATTGGGGTGATGGCAATCAAGTCCCTCCTTAATCCATTGTCCTGAGAGCATGGAGACATTCAGGGGAGCTACTGATGGGAAGGCACTTCCTGAGACATTCAAATGCTACTAATAATTAGCTTAAGAGATCGTTACCTTTTGCCATTTTAAATTCACCTTTGCCAGCTTCGTGCTGGATGCCCAGCAGGACATCAAAACACTGAAAGACGCTGCTCTGGCCCGCACTGCCCCCTGCAAACTTCTTTGGGGTGTCCCACACCCCCTCATACAGCAGCCCTTCTGACAGCTGGGGGTTGCCTTTCCAGCTAAGCCAGGAAAGAAAGAAAAGTCAGTCTTGGGGTTTATTTCCAATTCTCAGAGACCCAGTCTTGCACTAAAGGCAATGGAGGTGATAAGAGAGATTTCATGATCTTCCCTTCACACCCTCTCCCTCCCCACTCATGTTCCTGCATGAGAATAAAAAGATAATTCTGAGAAGATTTGGCATCAATATCCTAGAAATAGGACCTTACTTTTGCAGTGGCACAGACCAGTCCACTCTTTTTAAAATGAGGAGCTTTTCTGTCTCCCCTGAAGTACATCCCTGGCCAAGTAATAGAGCAGCGTGTCTGAGGACAGACATTATTATCTGAGCTCAAGGGCTAGTGGGGGCCGTCTGGAGGAATCTGGTGTGTTCCTCGTGTTAACAGAGAATGAAAGAAGTGCGGCATAAGATTACGTACCCAGACAGGTATATGCGAAGAACGTTGAAAAATAGGTTTGGGTCCACGTACTCTGTAAAGGGTGGAATTTGTCTGATTACAAGCCCGCAGAGGCATATGGGGAAACCCATGTGAAGACATGAGAGTGGATTTCAACCCTGCCTGCAGGTGCAATATTAGGTCAGTCTGTGCAGAACACAGCCACTGCGTTCAGCTGCTCCGCTCCCGCCCCACCCAGAGGAGCCTGGTTCCTTTCTGTGTCCACGGGGACAGGGTCTCCTACAGGGCTCCAGTACAGCTTATGCTGAGGACCCATCTTACCACCTGCTGGCCATCATCAGGAGGCCGGCTAACCTCTCAGCATTTCTAGTGCTTCTTCATGTGCTCACTAAGGTAACTGATAACCCATTTGCATAAAGACCCCCACACACACAAAAGAAAACAGAAACAAAAATTCCAGCTGCCCTATGTCTATGCATATGTGAGTCTCCCTCCTTATTTGATTTTAAGTCTAGCCCCTGGCCAAGAACCGGTGAGATAAACAGTCGCGTGTCTGCTCAATTTGTCCAGCAGGCAGATTTGCTTTTTACAAATTGCTGCTTATGAGTTTTTGTAGATTTTTAGCTATTAATTTTGGAACAATGTTTGTGCTCACTGGCTTTTATGTGTCATTTCTTATTTAATTCATAAAAAAGCAGAAATAAGCAGAGAACTGATCAAGCAGAAACGATGTGTTTTGGGACTTAAAATCATCTTTACATTTAGCAAGTTTTGCTATGGTTTTAGTGTGAGGTTATGGAAGCGCCTTGGAGTTAAACATCCCGACTGGAAATGTTGCCTTCACTAATTACTACCTGTGTGATCTTTGGTCATTTATCTTCTCTCTCTGAATTTAGATTTCCTTATTGGTAAGATGATGCTAATATAACTTGCCATATAGAAAACACGATTCAGTGAGATAAAATGCAGACTATAGAAACACCCTCACGACGTGGTAGCTGCTTTGTGCTTGTTTTCTGACAGCTCTGTGTTGACAAACAGACTCTGTTAGCCTAGAACCTTGTATCCACACAATACCTACCGTGGATTTGACCGAACACTGTTTTGGCTTCCTTCAGGGAAGAAGCTATTTCATTCAGTCCCTTCTTCAAAGCATCCTGGTCTTGGCATTTCACTGCTCTGAATATAGTGGGAATTACCTAAAAAAAAAAAAAAAAAAAAAAAAAACTTAAGCTTTCCTAGGACTACACACTTAGGTTGAGTAAAAGTTTCCCAAATCTTAATCCCTAAATTAAACTTGGAATTTTACATTTCTTTCCTGGGCTGAGCACCTATTTGACTAATTTCCTTGAATTCATTAAGACACATATTTGAGTTTGTTTATTCACTTAACATTTAATTTACAGGTGTTTATTTACTTATATATGTACGTATTTTTTATTTCTAATAGTCAAAATCATTAAATTTATGCCATTATGTGTAATAGTCCCATGACAATTGTGTTAGATAATTTTATTTCTTTTTTTGTCCACTCTTTTTTTTGTTTGTTTGTTTTTCTTTTTCTTTTTCTTTATTGTTGGGGATTCGTTGAGGGTACAAGAAACCAGGTTACACTGATTGCATTTGTTAGGTAAAGTCCCTCTTACAATCTTGTCTTGCCCCCAAAAGGTGTGACACACACCAAGACCCCACTCCATCCCTCCTCTCTCTCAATTTTATTTCTAGGGGTTTCAAGTTAGATTCTAAATATATGGCTCTGAGATTTTGTATTATAGATGACACAAAAAACATAAATGAAATACAGTAAAACCTCCACAGTTGACCACCGCCCTACATTGGCCACCCCCTTAAGTTGACCTCATATTCACAGACTGGGCACACACCACTTGTCTGTATCTGTGCAGTGGGTCTCATTCCCTGTACCGACCACCACGGTACCGTGACCTGTTGGTTACAGTCCCTTGGGTGGCCTTTCTATCAGGTGATCCCTTAACCGCAATTAAATAATCCCGTGTTGTATTCATTCAGGACAGAGTTAATTCATGCCTAATATAGTTCGTTTGTTAAGGGATGGCTCTGAATTGTGCACTGACATACAAATTTTCAAGTGTTAGGGACATACTTTGATTGCAGAAGCAGCTGCTATTTCCACCAGTAGAGAAACCAGGAAGAATCCTTTACCGCAGTCCCCACCAGGAAATGAGAACAAAATGTCCATGTTCCTAAGAATTAGGTTTAAGGGCAGTTACTTATTGATACGGGGATGACTTCTGGCCAAAGAGATCGTTAAGTCACAGATACACGGACAAATGTGCATACTGCTTACACATAGTTACATGCAAGTACCGTTTTTGTATATATCTCTATCTACAAATCAAATAGGCATAGTCACAGATACATTAATGGTTCAAAACTGCAATATTTTGCTTTTGAAATAACCACTTACTTTTTGCCTAAATGTACTCAATTATTCAAAAGTGCATTTGGAATATACCAATAAACCCATATTTATTTTATTTTTTTTTTTTAGAGACAGAGTCTCACTTTGTCACTCTCAGTAGAGTGCTGTGGCAGCACAGCTCACAGCAACCTCCAGCTCCTGGGCTTAGGTGATTCTCCTGCCTCAGCCTCCCGAGCAGCTGGGACCACAGGTACCTGCCACAACACCCGGCTATATTTTGTTGCAGTTTGGCCTGGGCTGGGTTTGAACCCACCACCCTTGGTAGATGGGGCCAGCACCCTACTCACTGAGCCACAGGCGCCACCCCCTACATTCATTTTAATAACAATTCTTAAAGTAAAATAAGAATCAAATACTTACTCGTAAGTCATGGGCCTTGGGAAAGGACACGGGCACCAGAGGGCCGATCAGAAGAGAAAAAGAAACCAACGTAAAAATCAAACGGTTTTGAGTTATTGTTATTAGGTTGAACATCCTGATTCATTAGTGGGAATACATAGCCAGATAGAAAGAAAATACCTGTGCTTTTTATATCTCTCAAGTAGGCATGGTAAGGATTTAACTTAATTAGTGAAATAAAAAATTAAATGTTCAAGGAGCACATGTGTAGTCAAAACTTGTCATTACTAACAAGAAACTTTCTAGATCAAATCCTTTCACTGTGCTGTATTTCCACTGGTAGAAGAGTCTTCTACAAGGAATGCAGGGCCGTGGGGTATCCTGACCCTCCGTGCCCTTAGTACAGCAGATCCCATCACTCAATGGGTGACAACAGGCCTAGACACTGAGTAGACGGCTCTGACAAGCCGGACGTCACGGCCTCCACTGCTAAAGATGTGTAGACTCTTCAGTGAATACACTCTAATGGAATAAAAACCATATTGTATAATTTGCAACCACAAACGGTATATGCAGAGCAGATCCTGAAGAATGGATGATGGATTCTGCTATCCGTTTCTAGTTCCTCCCTGCTAATAGTGCAATATAGTGGTCTCTTAAATACAGAGACAGACAGAGTGTGGACTCTTAAATGCAACTGGCTACCCCAAAATTAAATCGGTATAATCTAAAAACCACCTTAATTAGAGGAAGCCAGACCTAAAAGGGTACATCCTGTACGGTCTCATGGATACGAACTTAATACCAAAACAAAATAACTTTTAATAAAACAAATGAGAATACCTTTACCCAGGGCAGGGAAGGAAAATGGATGGAATGAAAAAAAACACAAATGAATTTTCTGAGGTGATAAAAAACATTCTGTATGTGGCTTAGGGTGGTGGTTATTAAGAGTGCATATAGGAATAAAATTCAAAGTGATGATGTAAGATTTGTGCATTTTGCTGTATTTTAACTGTCTGCATCACCCTTGTATATAAAACACATTTGTAGACACAGCAGTGCATGAAACTGTACCCAATGACAGAGGAGAAAACTGTGCCGCTAAAAATTAGGCTAATAAATAATGACATTTTGATTTAAATAGCAGATGCTCCATCAATTCCTATTATAATAATCACGGTTCACATACCCATTCGGGTCCTTTCTCTTCCAGTTTGCCAAGACACAGTCTGCATACACCAGAATAGGAGGCAGTCCCAGCTTCTCAGAGAGTTCGCAGTAGGGAACAGCAATATTTCTTGGCAAGAGCTAATTAAAATACAATATTTAGTTTTAACCATGGAAGTACCTCACCCTTTTCCTGCTTCCTGGTTGCTAAAAACTTAGCTCTTCTATATAGTGACACTTTAAAACTAAACCAGTGTAGTTTTTATTTTTCTCCTTCATTTCACAACTTAAGTTGTTATATGTTCACATTTTGCATTTGGGTTGATGAAGAGATAGTTTGACCACAGAGAGGTGAAAGAGGTAGGTAGCAGAAGAGCCTGCATCTCTGACTTTCCAGCGGCCCCGCGAGGTATCTTCACTCCATCTCTCATCCATCCATCCCATGGATATCTGTAAACCAATTTTTCAATGCCAGATGCGACATTATCCACTAGCAATGAGGTAAAAATCAATTGTCTCAGAGATGCTTAGTCTTCATCAGTATGACCTTTGGATCAGTATAAATAAATCGCTGCTCTTGGAACACAGTGCAGAAAAACTTCTTCATGATTAAAAACAATTTTTTTTAAATCTTCACCGTTGAATGACACTGGTGTTTGGTCTTGAAGACTTACTTGTGCTGGAAGAAGACTCTCCTACCCTCTCTCTGTGTACTGCCCTGGGGAGACTGGGATGGCACTCAGTTAACCTCACATTCGCCCTTCCTCAGAGGAGGCCTAGAGCTTTTTAATTGTGAGTTTGGAAGTGGAACCACAGCTCAGCCTCCTCTCTCCTTCTCTCTTCTTTTCCTGAGGCTGCTACTTGCATAATTTTCCTCTGCTTAGCCACCAGCAAAAGGCTGTTGCCCCCCGGGGCAGTCCTGCGTTTGACTGGTGCTGCCTTCAATGAGGCGAGTGAGTACCTCTGGGGTGCACTTTTATCCAGCCCGTTGGTCACCTCAAACCCAGGCCATGTTTCCCAACAGCTATATTAGTGATAAAGCTCTTTATCTGCCTGACTTTCTCATCTCATTATCATTTCACTTAGCCCTGGATGATCCCTAGGTAATCAGGGTAATCATTTTCACTGGTAACCTGAGGCTAGAATTTTCTAATTAACCAGGGAGGAAAGGGCTGTCTGGGGTAGTGAGTGGTGGAACTTAGTGGGTGAGATGGTGTGATGGTGAAGACCATTCTGTGTTATCAGGAGAGTGAACTTGAGAGACTTCAGATTAGCTTAGTACCCCAGTGATGGGTTTAACCAAGAGAGCAAGATGCTAGAACAGAATCACAATCACTGACTGTTAAATCACACCTGCATACATTCTTTCCATGGTAGAATTTGTGCTTCTGGGGACTGAAACATTTTGGTTGGACAATTATTTACATGTCTTTCAAAAAGAAATAAATTTTGCCCCTCTGATTTGAGAAGAGATCAAAGGAGAAAAGGGGGAAAATGTTTAATTGAATAATTAATTGGAAATAACTCAAGGAAAAGAAAGATGTAGGGGAAAAGCACATCTCTAGTTTAGAGACTCTTACAGTTGCTGAGAGTCAGCTGATTTCTTGCTCCTTTGCAAAATATGCTTTTTGTTGTTTTTTCCTGTTATCTAAACTTCGCAAAATCCAGTTACAGTACTTCAAAATATTTTTATGTTAAATGGAAATTGATGAAAACCTGTCACGTGGTGTAAGAAATCATTAGAAAATTCCCTAACCTTACAGACATCTCCGTCGCCTTTGTTCCACACGTATGCCATGGTGATGTACCCCAGAGCCAGGCGTGCCAGGCGCTGTGACTTGTGCCCTTGGAGGTCATCAATGCTGAGCATTGGTAACTGTGAACAAACAGAGAGACAGACTCAGATCAATGCCGGTGACGCTGTCGGCTTCAACGGCAAGTCTACAATGTTAAGAAGCAACATCAGTAGACAGCCAGGCACAGCAACTATGATGCCTGTAATGCCAGTGACTTTGCAGGATGGCAGAGGCAGGAGGATCGCTTGGACCCAGGAATTTGAGGCTGCGATTGCAGTCCGGTCAGGGTGACAGAGCTAGACCGCATCTCTGAATAAATAAATAAGAAAAGAAGAAAGAGGTCAAATAAATGGTAATACATATTTCAAACCTTCTCAACTTCTGCTCGAAGTTGATCCGTCTTGATCAGATCAGGCAGACGTTTGGCAATGTCCATCCAGGCATTATATTTGTCAGGTAGCTTTTCCTTAATTAAAAAAAAAAAAAAAGACTTTCATTTACTCATAGCAGAGAATGTAAAATAGATTGCCTTCCTGATAATAGTCCACTCTGGTCAAATGCCACTTTGCACAAGGTTGCTCTGATGCACACTTCCCCTCTAGAAACCCCAGCCCTGCCCTGCTACCTGCTCTCAGGGGCTAAGACCCGCTCTGTGTCCGTCTCTCCCTCTCTCTTCATGCAGTCCTGTCTGCCTCTTTCTCACAGTTCACCTCAAAAGCTCCACTAAAATCTTCCTGAATATTTCATTTGAAATCTCCTCTACGTTAAATCCTATGAATTATGCCTTTCCCCATTGTTAAGTAATTTATCAACTACTTTTTCTCTTCTTGGCTAGATTTCAAGTTCTTTGGATGGAAGAAAAATGAGATTTCTTTTTTTTTTTTTGAGACGGAGCCTCAAACTATCCCCCTGGGTAGAGTGACATGGCATCACGCTCACAGCAACCTCCAACTCCTGGGCTCAAGCGAGTCTCCTGCCTCAGCCTCCCAAGTAGCTGGAACTATAGGCGCCCGCCACAATGCCTGGCTATTTTTTTGGTGCCACTGTCATTATTGTTTGGCGGCCGGGCTGGGGATTCAAACCCGCCGCCTTAGGTGTATGTGGCTGGCGCCTTAGCCATTTGAGCCACAGGCGCCGAGCCAAAAATGAGATTTCTTAAATGTCCGTAGTGGACTAGGCATTCTGCTTAATAATTTCACATATACGTTGCTCCTTTAATTCCTTTTTAATCCTTGTAACATCCCAAGAAGTTATTTCTGTTATGAATAAGGACAGGCAGGCTCGGAGAGTTTTATGTAAACTGTTATGAGTGGAATCATCCTAGCTCACAGCAACCTCAAACTCCTGGGCTTAAGGGATCCTCCTGGCTTGGTCTCCCTAGTAGCTGGGACTACACATAAGCACTGTCACACCCAGCCAATTTTTAAGTTTTTTATAGAGATGTAAGTCTTGCTATGTTGCCCAAGCTCATCTTGAACTCCTGAACTCAAGGGATCCTGGGCTTTGGCCTTGCAAAGTCCTGGAATCATAGGTATGAGCCACCACAGGGAGCCAGTGCTTTAAATTGTCTATCTCTTTGAAGACTCGGCACCCTGCACGTTACTGGACACACAGGAGGTTGATTCCAAGTTGGGTTTCACTACAGGTTTGTTTTTTGCCAAGTGCACATGAAATCCAAATGAAAGTATTTTCCTGGATCTTATTATTTCCACCATCTCATCTCACAGGGTAACATAAAAACAAAAGACTTGGCAACAAGTCCTTGAGCAATTTCCTGCATACCCTGCCCTGCCCCCTCCTCCGTCAGGTGTCTGCAAGGCACACCCTTGAGGTCATGGGTGCTGACCCCTGAGGTCTGAGTGCAGGGAGCTTGACTCAAATCAACATGGATTTAAGCTTCAAAATGAAGTTAATATTACAAGTAAACCATAAAACAAGAAAGCAAGTAGGATACGTAACTGGACACTTTTTCACCCTCTGTATGCAATTGTTCAATCTTAATTGGTCAGGGCAAATGTTTGGGCAGCACAGTCTCTAGACAGCCAGTTGTCCTGCTGCAAATTCTCTCCCTGACCACACAGGGGCTGTGTCCTAGTGCTTTTAGTAATAAATGTTTTTGTGGTTCTGTGTTTCACTGTGAAGCCCACACCTGATTTTTTGGTCGTTGCTGTTTTTCTCAAGTGATAGAAATACTTTTTGTTATGTACCATGGCTAATGTTTTATCTGACAACACTTTCCTCAAAAGTAAAATTCAATCAACAAATGTGCGTCTGGCTCAGAGGACCCCTGAGGACCCCTAATTTATTTATGATATAAATTAATAAAGAATAGTACAGAGAATTGTTCAAATTCTGCTCAGATTAGAGAATTTTGTACATACATCTATATAGAATCAGAAGACAGGTAATTTTTCTTTGGAATGGAAAGCTGATTCACAAGATTAAATATACATCTTGAGAAGATTAAATATACATCTGTGAAGATTGTATATACATCTGTGAAGATTAAATATACATCTTGAGCTCATAAGTTTTAGGAAAGATCATCAAGGAAGAAATAAAAGTAACCCCTAATTTTTTTTTTTCTTCATGTTTCAGGACACTGAATCTAATTTCCTCAGCATCGCAGCTAACAGAATTACTTTTCAAGTAGTCAAAAAAGGAGTTTTGTTTTTGGGTTTTGTTGTAACCCTCATAATCTGTTTTAGAGGTCTCTGTGACTACCAGAGTTTTTGCGTTTTTCAAGAGAACTAACTCTTTGAAGAAAATAATGTAATGGGAAGTTTAGAAATGTCTGAAAATGATAGAGCTATTGCACACTAAAAAGTACACACTTGAAACCATTCAACTCTGACATCTGTGCACGGTTAGGGAGGGAGCAGGGAGCAAGTCTGAACATTACTGATTTGTGAGTATTAAAACAGGTGCTTTTGGCAGTAAAATTGAAGCACATGGGTGGTGCCTGTAGCTCAGTGGGTAGGACATCAGCCACATACACTAAGGCTGGTGGGTTCAAACAATGACAACTGCAACAAAAAAATTGCTGGGCGTTGTGGCGGGCACCTGTAATCACAGCTACTTGGGAGGCTGAGGTAAGAGAATAGCTTAAGCCCAAGAGTTTGAAGTTGCTGTGAGCTGTGATGCCCCAGCACTCTACCCAGGGCAACAGCTTAAGATTCTGTCTTTAAAAAAGAAAAAAAAATTAAAGCACCTGCTTATTTTCCTGTTAATTTAACTTGGATCAAATGGTGCTGTCTGGCATGTGGACAATAACTGAGCTAAAAACAGATAAAAATATACTGGTCTGCAGAATTGCAACAGGTAACTGGTTCACAGAAATTATCCCCTGGAACACAAGTACCTTGTTACCCCAAAAGTGAAAGAAAGGAAAGAAAAGAACTGAGAAAAGAAGAGGAAAGGAGAGGAGAGGAGAGGGACAGGAGAGGGAGAGGAGAGGGAGAGCAGAGGAGAGGAGAGGGACAGGAGAGGGACAGGAGAGGGAGAGGAGAGGGACAGGAGAGGGACAGGAGAGGAGAGGAGAGCAGAGGAGAGGAGAGGAGAGGGACAGGAGAGGGACAGGAGAGGAGAGAAGAGCAGAGGAGAGGAGAGGAGAGCAGAGGAGAGGAGAGGAGAGGGACAGGAGAGGGACAGGAGAGGAGAGGAGAGGAGAGGAGAGGTTTGTGCCCCCCTCTTTAGAGAGCTAGCCTGAAGCCAGACTACTGAGGCTCATATCTGTCTCTTTCACTTGCTGGCAGTCCTAGGTGAATAACTTAAATTCTATTCTGCGTGCCTTATAGTTCTTACCTGAAAAACAATAGTAAGACCATACCTACCATCTGGGATGGTTGTGGAGATGGAATGAGTTAACTGCTTGGAAGAATGCTAAGTGTTTTGATAACTAAAACATTTATGATAAATTGGTTTCCATGGCATTCATAGGAAGACAACTTGGGAAAATGTAGTTTTTAAGGGAAATATTTTTTACCCATACCTTGGACCTCATAGCTAAAACTTGCAAATAAATAAATAAACACAAGGCATGGTTTAGACTCACATTTGAATCTTATGCTCAGTAAACAGAGTAGGCAGCAAGTGTTACTAATACCATACGGAAGTGACTCGATGTACCCGCCCATGGACCCTATCAAATTAGGAACATACATTTTGCACAATTTAAGGTACCAGCAAAGAAAAGGATTTCTTCCTTTGTCTCTTGGACCATTTATACCTCTGACTTTTTCAAAAACTCCTCTGAAAATACAATTGTAATAAACTTAGCATTCTTCTAAGCAGTTAACTTACTTTTGATTTCTACAGGACAGTTCCTCTGTCTGCGAAGATACTTCCCAAAGCTTCCTAACCTTATCACGCTTCACATCCACATTATGTAAGAAAGAGGATGACTATGTTCAGAGAGAAAATTAAAGGAAAGTTAAATGAGACACAGTTATTAAAACTGCCTCTAATTTTGGCATCACTCTATCTACTTGTTTAGAAGTTACTGAACCACAGGTGTTCAGTAGTTAACTTGCCCAGGTTAAGTGAGAAGAAGAACACAATTTGCCCAACTCACAGTGGGGTCTCTTACCAGGGGGGTTGGCAGAGCGAAGCCCACATCTTCATGTATGTGGTATTCCTCGGTGATTTCCCAAGAGCTGTCCCTGGGAGACACTGCACCCTCTGCCATCCTTGCGTCCACTGCTCCGGTCCCCTCAGCCTCTGAAGGGTTTCAGAGCATCTTTTTATTATATTTGTTGCTATGACCAGTCACCACAACCTATCACGTAAGCAGTGATGTTACTTCCACTTTTGGAATAGTTTCATTTTCTGCTTTCTTTATATGTAATTTGATAAACAATGAAACCACACAAGCATCATATAAAGAAACTGAAAGTTTATTTTCCATATGAAATTTTTACCATTTAGGAACTTATGTGTTTATGGCCATATGGGAAGCGAGAGGGGCCTGAATGAAAGCAAAACAATTATGAAAAGAAGTGACCGGGGGGGAAAAAGGTACTTTAGGCAAATTTCTTAATCTTTGAATGAAAATGAAGAATTTCACTATAGCTATAGTCCTAAACTATTAAATTATTTGTCATTGACATTCTTTTAAGCTCTCAGGGTTCCTCAAAAATATCACCATCATGCACATCAGAGATTTTGTGATGTGTTCAAAGTTAAAGAAAAGGACAAAATATTTTGAAAATATTTCTTTCAAAATACAAATTAAGCCTGCTTTGGTGAAGGCTTTCTTTCGGGTTACCTGCATCCTTATATCTTACTAATAATGTGAAACAAAGAAGAAACCATATGGTTCCTTTTCATGATCAAAAAGAGAAATGAGAAGGATTTAGGGTTCAGCACATTAAAAGGTGATGCAGGATCAAATGGGAGGTCTAGCTTGAGTTCTTTGAGGGTTCGCCATACTTCCTTCCAAAAAGGTTGTATTAGTTTGCAGTCCCACCAGCACTGACTGCAGTCCCTTCCCTATAGGTCCATGCCGCTGGCATCTGCAGCTTTGGGAAGGGGAATAAGCAAGTGGGGAGAGGGGAGGAGGGGGCCCCTGGGGCATCACACCCTGGGGGTGGGACACGATTATAAGAGGGACTTTATTTAACAAATGCAATCAGTGTAACCTAATTCTACGTACCCTCAATGAATCCCAAACAATTGAAAAATAAAAAAAAGGAAAAAAAGGTGATGCAGTCTTGTCAGCCAGTTTGTGAGTGTTTAAAGTCAATTCCATTTGAGTGGCACTTGGCTCTGGTGGCACATTCTGTAGTAGCTGTCCGACTGCCCTGCCCTGCCTGCCTGCCCTGCTGTTCTTTCCTTTTCTCTGTTTTTGTTCTTAACTCACCACTGTGCTCACAAGGATGCACTCCCTATTATATTACAGTATGACTTTATTTTTATGCAAGTAGCTTTACAAGAATATGGTCTCTGAGAGGAAAAGTAAGATAAAATGAAACCAAATTACGTAACAATGACTACATTGTTTAAAAGAAATGATTCAGCAGGCCGATAACTTTTACACAATCAGGCCCTAAGACAGAAAAACAGACCAATTAAAAAAAAGAAAAAAATCATACAAGCCTATCATATCTACGTGGAAAACAGAAATACTAACAAAATTTTGAGAATTAGAAATCATGAGGTTATCCCTGTGATTTTTTTGTTCTTTGTACCTGAATTTTTCTATGGTTGAGTAAAACTAGAATGAAGTTTTAGAATGAATCTGTCCTAGAAAACTCTCTCAGGAATGGTATTTTAAGGAGCACAGTTTGATAGAAATTGTTTCTTGGCTCTGCTCACCAGGTGCTTTACTAAATCCACCCTACTCTTGACTACAGAAACAATAATCCTTACTGCCTTTGAATCTCCCAAACTTTTAATTCTTTCGTATTTCTGCAAGTTGATCCAGTCTTCATTCACCTTAATTTTTCTTCGGCCATAACTACATGTCCTTAAAAACCCATGTGTGAAAGCGCAGGTTCCCAGGAGAGTACTGTATGATCTCATATGGATTCTTTATCTTCCTCTTCAGCTTTTTACCTGTGCCAAGGTCATGGTGCTAAAAAGTCCTGAGAGCCAGAGCCCAGTGTTTTGCTCTAGAACTAGATCTGAAACTTTATTATGCATCCGTCTCTCCTGTACATGTATATGTCACTTGTGTTAATAGCCTTGAGCATCTTTTCTCCATAATGATTGTATTGCCTGATTTATCTCTAAAGCCACGGACTACATTTCAAATGGGCATTTCTACCTGAAAATTCTGGTGTCCAGTCTTACAGGGGACTTCATTGGCAGGAGGGCTGTTACGACAGCGTCTGCCGAGGGACTTGTATCTAGAGCCCCCGTGAACACCAGTTCACTTCCTCTTAACATATTGTTCTCCGTAATACATGCAACTTCCTTTTTATCACTATGTTACTATGATTTATAAAACACATCTTGGTACTTAAGATGATTCTCAGTTAAAACAATCTAGAGCATACAAGAGAAATGAAAGAAATCCTAGAGATACCAACAGCCCCTGAAAGTCATCATTCATGTTTGATGGTGAGCTGATAGTGCAATGCTTTGCACCACAATTCATGCAAATTAATAACAAACAAACTTTCCTCGGCATTTGCCAGCATCCGGGGTTTTGTCTGTCACATTGGTATCAGTGACTCATGCCCATAATCCTAGCACTTTGGAGGCTGAGAGGAGAGGGTCACTTGAGGTCAAGAGTTTGAGACCAGCCTGAGCAGAAGTGAGACACATCCCTTCCCCAGCTCTACCAAAAGGAGAAAAATTTAGCCAGGGATTGTGGTGGGTGCCTGCACTCCCAGCTACCTTGTTTCCCTGAAAATAAGACCTACCCAAAAAATAAGCCCTAGCAGGATTTCTATGCATTTGTTAAATATAAGCCCTACCTTGATAATAAAACCTAGTGATGGGCGTGGCTATGCACCATATCTTCATAGCCACACCATGCATTTCAGCGCAGAGCAGTAAGGAAGACTGGAATACCTTTTATCTGCCACAGCTCCTTTCTACGAGCCATTCGCATTTGTGTGGGTGTGTGTGTGGTAACCGCAGTCGCAAGCATCCTGTTGCACACGTGCAAATGGCTAGGGGAAAGGAATTCATGCATCACTAGCGCCAGCCCCACCAGCAAGGTCGACTCCCCCTGTCAGGTTCCACAAGAAGATGACTTAACTGTATTTGAATAAATGTAGATTGTTGTATTATACTTAATAAAAATAAGACATCCCCTGAAAATAAGCCCTAGTGTGTCTTCTTGAGAAAAAATAAATATAAGAAAGTGTCTTATTTTGGGGGAAACACAGTACTTCGGAGGCTGAGGCAGGAGGATTGTTTGAGCTCAGATTGCTGTGAGCTGTGCTGAGGCCATGAGAACAGAGTTAAGACTCCTTCAAGAAGAAAAACCAAAAAATAAAAATAAAAATAACTTGTTTGTACTAAGTAATTTGATTGACTTTTATAGTTGACATATGAGAAAAATTCCCTGAAAGAGAATTAAGGATTCTCTTAATCCTTGATTCAGGATTTTCTGTGTCTTTAGTTGCCTGAGCAAAACAAAATTAAATAATCCCTTGAAGAAAATGTGTCTCAAACCTTAAACTATTCATACCACCTTTATAGAGCTCTCTAGAAGTCACTAAAAATAATATCCAGACCCACATTCTAATACCAAGGAAAACAACAGATTATAGAAAGAGATTTACAGGAGATCAGATTAAAAAAATAAAAGTCGACAGACTTTGAAGTTCATCTTCATAATATATTTTAAAAAATTAGAAATTAAAACCAACACAGAAAACTTAGCAGAAACTGTATAATCATACCAAATGTATATTCTGAAATTAATGTAATTGAAGAGAAAATGCATGAACTTGGGGGTATGTCAGAAGAAAATACAGATTAAATCTCAGGAAAAAATGATGAAAAATATACACCAGAGAACAAGAAAGAGAGTACAGCGAGGAATCTGATACAGAAATAATCTGAGACTCAGAGGGAGAGAAGAGAGAAAATGAGAAGAGACAATATTTAAAGCAATAGGGGTGGCAGCCCCTGTGGCTCAAAGGAGTAGGGCACTGGCCCCATATGCTGGAGGTGGTGGGTTCAAACCCAGCCCCAACCAAAAACTGCAAAAAAAAAAAAAAAAAAAAAAAAGCAATAGGGGGAATGGATTTTTTAAATATAGTGAAGGACACCAAATGATAGAGACAAAAAGATCCTTTAAAAAGGGTTAAATGAAATTAAAGCCACATTTAATCACATCATAGTAAAGCTATCAAAACCAAATTTAAAAATTTTTAAACATTCAAATCTTCTTTGAATAAAACCCCAAATAACACCTTCAAAGAAGTATTAATCATAGTGACAGAAGGATTCTCAAAGAAACAATTAAGACCTGATGACTAAAAGTGCTGAAGAAAAACAAGTCAAGCAAGGATTATATATTCACGAAAAATATTATTTATAAATGTAATTAAAACAATTTTCAGGCAAACAGAAATTAAGAGTTTATCCTCAGTGAGTCTCTCAAGACTAACCAGGCCCGAAGGGTCAAGACACAATCACTGTGTGGGTAGAATTTCTAATTCAGACAAACTCTGCTGTGAGTTTCGACGGTTTGGTATAAAGAGTGCATTGCTCAGTATCACGCGTGTCCGAGGCTCCCAGTCCTTTCAAACCAGCCTCTGGTCATGACCTGGAAGTCATGGCCTCCAGATGGTGGAGACCGAGCAGGGGGCTTCCAGTTGGCCACCAGTCAAGCTCTCCTGGACACAAAAACAAGATTTAATGAGGTAACTTATCCAGGTTTGGGGGGAGCGGTGTGGAAAGCATAGTTGTATGCTAGCCTGAGGAAAACTGTACAGCTCGGCAGTATGGGGGGACCTCAAACAACAGGCTTATGGAGGTTCAGGACTCCTATATGAATCTAAACACCTTTCAATGTAAGGCTTGATCTTCCTAATAAAATTCCTACAACCCCAGGGGGAAGGGCCCCAAACCCCTGTTGGTTCTTTAAGAGGAGGGTCCCCTGGTAATACAGAAAGGTGTACAGTGCTGTGTAAGTCAGTGCCAACACTGCCTATTGTGGCAGGGGAAGCTGTGATACTGTGACCCGCTGGTTTGTTGATTGAGATTTGGGAATGTTACCATTGGAGGGTTTTGTTGAA